CCTTGTTACAGATGTATAGAAATATCATTTGTACTTATCATTACTTCAGAATCACAGTAGTTAATAGACTAGATCTTGTTATTTAACGCGTTAATAAAGAAGCCCACGTGGGTATTGAGGAGGGCACTTGTTGGGATGAGCACTGGGTGTTGTATGGAAGCAATGAATCACGGGACTCCATCCCCAAGACCAAGAGCACAATGTACACGCTAATTTGACAATAAATTATATATATTTTTAAAACAAGCACACAGACTATTATATCCCAGATTTTTTTTATTTAAAAAAATTTTTTTAATGTTTATTTATTTTTGAGAGACAGAGAGAGAGAGAGAATGAGAGGCAGAGGGGCAGAGAGAGAGGGAGACACAGAATCCGAAGCAGGCTCCAGGCTCTGAGCTGTCAGCACAGAGCCCGATGCGGAGCTCGAACTCACAGACCGCGAGATCGTGACCTGAGCCGAAGTCAGAGGCTTAACGGACTGAGCCACCCAGGCGCCCCCCAGATTTTTTAATACTTGGAAAATTACATTTCAGTGTAATTGGTTTTCTCTGTCATCCTTTGTATTGTATTTTATGCATTTAAAACTTTATCCTGACACTCATTAGAGTGGCTAGTAAAAAAAAAAAAAATTACAATTATTGTTGAGGATGTAAAGAATTGGAACCCTCGTGCATTGCTGGTAGGAATATGAATTGGTGTAGTTGTTGTGGAACACAGTTTGGAATTCCTCAAAAAGTTAAACAAGGACGTGAACCAGGAAATCAAAGAAGAAATTTTTTCAAAGTACATGAAAACACAGTGGTCCAAAGTCTTTGGGATGCAGCATAAGAAATTCTAAGAGGAGAGTTTATAGCAACACAGGCCTCCTTAATAAGCAAGAAAAATCTCAAATAAACAACTTAACCTTACACCTAAAGGAACTAGAAAAAGAACAAACAAACCAGCAGAAGGGAGGAAATAATAAAGATTAGAGCAGAAGCGAATGATAGAGAAACTAAAAAAACAAAAAAAAACAAAAAAAAAAAAACAAAAAAACAAAAAAAACCACACAAGAACAAAAAGCAAACAAACATAGTAAAACAGATCCATGAAATAAGGAACTGGTTCTTTGAAAAGATCAACAGCGTTAATAAACTAGGGAGTCAGATTTCCCAGAAAGGAAAGAGAAAGGACTCAAACAAAATCACCCATGAGAGGAAAACTAGCAACCAACACTACAGAAATATAAACAGTTATAAGAGAATACTATGAAAAGCTATATGCCAATGAATTGGACAACCTGGAAGAAATGGATAAATTCCTAGAAACCTATAAACTACCAAAACCGAAGCAGGAAAAAATAGAAAATTTGAACAGACGGATAACCAGCAATGCAATTGAATCAGTTAGAAAAAAAAAAACAAACCTCCCAACAAACAAAAGTTCAGGACCAGACATCTTCACGAGCGAATTCTATCAAACATTTAAGGAAGAGTTAATGCCTATTTTTTTCACACTATTCCAGAAAATATAAGAGGGAGGAAAACTTCCAAATTCATTCTATGAAGCCAGCATTACCCTGACACCAAAACCAGATAAAGACACCACAAAAGAGAGAGAGCCAGAGAGAGAGAACGACAGGCCAATATCCCTGGTGAACATGGATGCAAAAATCCTCCTCAAAATACCAAATCCAACAATACATTAAAAAAATCATAGGGGCGCCTGGGTGGCGCAGTCGGTTAAGCGTCCGACTTCAGCCAGGTCACGATCTCGCGGTCCGTGAGTTCGAGCCCCACGTCGGGCTCTGGGCTGATGGCTCAGAGCCTGGAGCCTGTTTCCGGTTCTGTGTCTCCCTCTCTCTCTGCCCCTCCCCCATTCATGCTCTGTCTCTCTCTGTCCCAAAAATAAATAAAAAACGTTGAAAAATTAAAAAAAAAAAATCATAGACCACGATCAAGTGGGATTTATCTCCAGGATGCAAGGGTGGTTCAATATTTGCAAATCAGTGTATGTGATACATCTCATCAATGAGAGAAAGGATAAAAACCGTATGGTCATTTCCATAGATGCACAAAAAGCATTTGACAAAGTACAACATGCACTCATGATGAAAACCACAAAAGAAGAGGGTTTAGGGGGAACATACCTCAACATAATAAAAGCCTTGTATGAAAAGCGCACAACCATCATCATCCTCAAAGGGAAAAAACTGAAAGCTTTTCCCCTAAGGTCAGGAACAGGACAAGGACGTCCACTGTCACCACTTTCATTGAACACAGTACTAGAAGTCCTAGCCCTAGCAATCTGACGACAAAAAAGAAATAAAAGGCACTCAGATTGGAAAGGAAGAAGTAAAACTTTCACTCTTAGCAGAGAACATGACACTCTATATAGAAAACCTTAAAAGACTCCACCAAAAAAGTATTGAAACTGATACACTGAATTCAGCAAAGTCACAGGATACAAAATCAATGTACAGAAATCTGTTGAATTTCTTTACACTAAAAATGAAGCAGCAGAAAGAGAAATTGAGAAACAATCCCATTTATACTTGCACCAAGGAGAACCAGATACCTAGGAATAAACTTAACCAAAGAGGTTAAGTCCTGTACTCTGAAAACTAAAACATTGATGAAAGAAATTGAGGAAGACACAAAGAAATGGAAAGATATCCCATGCTCATGGATCTGAAGAACAAACATTGTTAAAATGTCTATACTACCCAAAGCAGTCTGCACGTGTAATGTGATCCTCATCAAAACACCGACAGCATTTTTCACAGAACCAGAACAAACAATCCTAAAATTTTTATGGAACCCCAAAAGACCCCGAATAGCCAAAGCAATCCTGGAAAAGAAGAACAAAACTGGAGGCAGCACAATCCCAGACTTCAAGCTGTCTTGCAAAGCTGTAATCATCAAGACAGTATGGTACTGGCACAAACACAGACACATAGACCAAGAGAACAGAATGGAAAACCCAGAAATGAACCCACAATTATATGGTCGATTAATTTTTGACAAAGCAGGAAACGATCCAATGCGAAAAACACAGTCCCTTCAACAAATGGTGTTGGGAAAACTGGACAGCTTTCAGTAGAAAGGAGAGAAGAAGAACGCAAAAGAATGAGCTGGACCACTTTCTTGCACTATTGGCAGGAGTCAAACTGGTGCGGCCACTGTGGAAGACAGTATGGAGATTCCTCAAAAAGTTAAAAATAGAATGACTCTACAATCTAAAAAGTATAAAATCGCTAATTAAAAGGGACGCATGCACCCCTATGTTTATTGCAGCATTATTTACAATAGCCAATGTACGGAAACAGCCCAAGTGTCCATCCATAGATGAATGGATAAAGAAGAGGTGAGATACACACACACACACACACACACACACACACAGAGTGGAATATTACGCAGCCATAAAAAAGAATGACATCTTGCCATGTGTAACAACATGGATGGATCAAGAGAGTATTATGCTAAGTGAAATAAGTCATCCAGAGAAAGACAAATACAATATTATTTCACTCATATGTGGAATTTAAGAAACAAGACAAATGAGCAAAAAGAGAGAGACGAGCCAAGAAAGACTCTTAATTATAGAGAACATACTGATGGTTGCCAGAGGGGAGGGGGTGGGGAGGGTAATATATATGCTGGGGATTAAGGAGTGCACTTGTTGTGATGAGCACTGAATGATATATGGATTTGTTGAACCGCTGTATTATACATCTGAAACTGACATCACACTGTATGTTAACTATATTGCAATTAAAAGAAAATGCTTATTAAAAACAGAAGCTAAAGAGTCATGGAATTATCTTATGACCCAGCAATTCCACTTCTAGGTATATGCCCAAAAGAATTGAAATTAGAGACTTAAACACATATTTATACACAAACATTCATGCGGCATTACCACAATAGCCAAAAAATGGAAACAACTCGAGTGTCACCAGATGCGTGGATAAACAAGATGTGGGTCCACGCAGTGGAATATCATTCAGCCATAAAAAGGAATGAAAGTCTGAGGCACCCGGGCGGCTCCGTCGGTTAAGCGTCCAGCTACGGCTCAGGGCACGATCTCGCGGTTCGTGGGTTTGAGCCCCGCGTCAAGCTCTGGGCCGACAGCGCACAGCCTGCTTCCGATTCTGTGTCTCCCTCTCTCTCTCGGCACCTCCCCCACTGTCTCTCTCTCTCTCTCTCTCTCTCTCTCTCTCTCTCTCAAAAACTAAATAAACCTTGAAAAGAATTTTTTTTTAAGGAATGAAATTCTGACGCGTGCTACAGCATGGATGAGGCTTGAAGACTTTGTGCAAAAGGAGATGGAAATAAGCCAGCAGAGTAGTCAAGTGCAAAGAGACAGAGGGGAGAGCGGCAGCTGTAGGGGCCGAGGGGGGCCGGGGTGGGATGGGCCTTAGAGTTTGATGGGCATGGAGCTTCCGGTTTAAGGAAGATGAAGGGCAGGAGGTGGATGGCGGTGATGGTGGCCCAATATTGTGAATTACTGAATGCCACTGAGTTATTCGCCTGGAAATGGTCAGAATGGTCAATTTCATGCCACGCCTGTTTTACCACAATGAAAGGAAGAGCCGCCATTATTCTGAGAAGGGGCCCACAGGCCTCACCAGCCTACCAGAGGGATTCCCCTGGCAGAAGGGGAGAGGCCGGAGACAAGGAGCTCATCGGGGAGATGGGGCCCCCGGGGACCCCAGAGCTGGCTGGAGGCTCTGGTCAGGGGGGAAGCTCCCTCCCCAGGCTCCCAGAAGGAGAGGGGCTGCCGGGGACAGATGAGCACACCACAGCGTCCCATCGGCCTCTGGCAGACACCCTCCTCCTCCACGTAGAGCATCCCCTTCGCCGACTCTCCAAGCTGAACCTCCTAAGGCAGCTTTTAAGTTGCACTGTTCCGCTCTTACCTCCTGCCCTGATGTCAATAGCAGTGACCTGGAATTTGCCCGCTGATGTCCTGGCAGCGGGCCAGGACAGGGTCGACCAGGCCTGGGTCGGCGATTTCCCGTGGCCAGCTTACCACTCCCTTCAGATTCATGACTGGGGTCTCTGACGATCCTCCCTCCCACTCAGTGCCTCAGAAAGGGAACCTAGGGCCACATGAAGGGCCAGTAAGAGAAGGCTTGGGGATGGGGGGCTTACTTAGCCGAAAAAGAAAGTTGCACAAATTTTCAGCTACTCTGGGTGAGAGAGAGCAGTCTGCCTGCCTGATTTCTCCAGACTGGCCTCCTGGCTGGGCCTGGGTTCACACATCACCCCGATGCTAGAGCCATGAGGTGTGTCTATCCCCAAAAAAGGAGGAGGTGACACAATCTGGCACATGCTGGACCGTTCATCTAGAACGTCCTTTCCACCTGAGACGTCCCAAGCCTCCCAGAACGGACAGCGCATTCATACTTTACTTTGTCGATCTGTAAAACGTTGAACCAGTGCACGTCTCCAATGTTAGCGAGGGAAAATGGACTAAAAAAGCAAGCCCGAGATTCTGGGAAATAATTTTGTTTTTACCACCAGTAGATACAATGTAAATGTAAGATGTTGAAAATGAAGAATTGAAATCGTTTTTATGGTGAGAAAATGTTCTGCAACATTTTTTAATTGAAAGGATAAATAGGTTTTTTAAAAAGCTTGAATCTCAGGGTGACTTAAGTCATTGTGCCACATAGAAGACCTTCGTTGACATCATTTCAGACAATTGGGACTACCCAGTTAACACAAACACTTTTTTATCTAATGATTTTCATTTATAATATTTATGTTTTGAAAAGATCCCTTTGGCAGCCAGGGCCACACGTACGGTTGTGCAGGTTGTACACTGTGCAAGGGCACGCATCGAAGGGAGTATCGTTCGCATCACAGATCTCAAAGATTTGTGTGTGTATTACGAGCATTCCCGGCAGATGGCAGTAAAGGGTATTGTTCTAGAGAAGTAAAGCATCTGGCAGAAGGAATGTCTTTTTCTAATTTGTACAAAGGCACCTATGGGCCAGCAGTGGCCTCTCTGCCATGGATCTGGAGGAGGACAAAAATGGGGGCGGGGAAACCACTTGGACAGCCATTACAATTATCTGGGCTCAAAGAGAAGAGAGCCTTAACTCAAGTAATGGCAATAGGTGTGGAGAAGTTGGGCAAAGGTGTGTGATTGATTCTCAGGTCTCCGGTAGGAGCTGTGTGCGAATGGTGTGCCGACCCCAAGGGGGATGATTTGGATTTGGGGATGCGGTGAGTTTGATTGACCTGTGGAACACCAGGTGAGGCTGTCCAGGTGACATCACGGCAGGAGGTACAGATCTGATAACATGGGCAAGGGTGGCTCGAGCCATGAATGGATGGGTTTTCCCAGAAGACTGCATGGCCTGAGCAGACCAGAGGGCCCAGATGGTCCTCGGGGTCACCGTCACCTCATGGGCAAACGGGCAAGAAAGAAGGGGCTAAGGAAGGAGACAGTCTTGAAGGAGCGGCCACTCCATGCCCCCTGTCCCAGCCCTACATGTGCTGTGCTGTCTCCCATGTCCTGTGGGCCTGGATGTCTAACGTTGCTTTAGATCCTGGACAAAATGAGAGGACACGGCTCTTCCAAAATTATGTGCACGATGAGCTTTCCAACATCCCTTTTGGCTAGAGAAATCTTTTTTTTTTTTTTTTTTTTTTTTTTTTTTACTACCGAATTCTAAGCTGTATTCCAGATGCTTCCTATAGCTGGAGGTGTGACTTCCGAGAATATAGACTTCCGTGGAAATCTCCACCAGTTAACAGAATAATAACCTTCTCACAGAATTTTCAGCAAAACGCCTTTGGGCTCTATAAATCCGTTTTTCCTACTGACTTCCAGCAGAAGGGTACTTGTGCTCTCAAGACCAGTAAAATCACTCGAGAATGTAACTACTGTAAACAGTTCCTGTGACTATATTTGTCATAATGACATTGGAAAAATATTAATAGTGATTGTTATTTCAGACATTTAAACCGTGAAGTCCTTGTCCCAAGGCGTGTCCAGACTAAACATCCTGCAGAGAAGAGAAGTCCCAGATCTAGATTTTCAGCTGTGTATTATTAAAGAGTTTTTCTCCTTGGGGCACCTGGGTGGCTCAGTCGGTTAAGTCTTGATTTCGGCTCAGGTCATGATCTCACGGTTCATGAGATCGAGCCCCGCCTCAGGCTCTGTGCTGTCATCGTGGAGCCTGCATGCGATTCTGTCTGTCTTTGCCCCTTCCCTCCACCCTCTAAATATATAAATTAAAAAATTTTTTTTAAGTTTTCCTAGAAAAAAAACTCTACCTCTGCTTTTACACTAGAGCACAGAATCAAGGTTTTCTCTCTTATAACTGATTTCGGAAGGGCAGGTCCAGAAGCCCAGTGGCCTCCCGCCGAGCCTTGCCTGTGTGCCCCGCGTGGGTCTGCCTGCTGAATCACCGCCCTTCGTCTCCGGCCGAGCTGCCTTTGATTCCGGCAGACTGTCCATCTGTGAATCCAGTGTCCGTGCCTCCGTCTGTCAGGCTGAAAATAACCTGACCCCGGGGGCTTCCCGAAGGCTCCAGATCTGTAAGGCTTCCCATTTAGCGCTGCCTCTCATGCTGACAGCTAATTTGAGGAACTCAGCAGGATGCTTAACGTCTTCCTCTCAGGGCAGGTGACACAGGCCGGAAAGTGATAGCCCAAGATGCTAAATTAAATTCAGTCGCTCAGAAGCTTAAAATTGGGAGGCTCCTTGACCCCATCCAATCTGGAATAGAAAAGAGTGAGTGTTCCTTCCTCCCGGGTGTGGGACCCCCAAGCTGGGCAGGGGCAGATAACTCCTTCTTATTGGGCACAATGGGGAACTGCACACTTACCCTAGAGTCAGAAAAGGAAGCCCATCTGTGAAAGTTTTAGAGCCACAATTCTCCATGATGCGAACCCTTCTTTTAAGGGAAGGAAAGGGCTGGGCAGCAGCTTGAATGCAGCCAACCAGATGATCTAATAGGGCATGAATTTCAAATACTCTATCCCATTGTCCCAACAAGTATGCCCACACTTCTTCAACCACGGCCCCCCAGGCTCGGATTCAGAAAATGTCACCGTCACCGTATAAATGGATCGTTGGTAAACACAATATGCATTGCTTAATAATCTGGAAAAGATGTTGTGAGAGTGAATTCGCAGTGATTTAGCGCCTTCCATTATGGAAATTCCATATAAATATTTAACTCTAATGCTTACTTTATTCTAATTTTTTGTTAATCACATTTGCTTAGTTAATACGGCACACTTAGGCAGTTTTTTATTGCCATAGATTTTTATGAGTGATGGCAATTTTATGTGCTATTTATTTGAAATTAGGTTGATTGTGAAGATTCGCACAGAATCGCCTGTTAATTTTAGGGCTTAGCGTTTATGCCATTGTACCAGCAAATTCTCCCAACACACACGCACGCACACACACACTTTGCCGCCACATTATCAGTGAGACAACACATTGGCACATTGCCTCTAGTTTTCTAAGGGAAAGAATTTTTCTTTGAGGGCTCATTAATACTTTTGAAGGCAGACAAATTTGATTAGCAGAACATCCCTCTGAAATTGAGGAGGAAAGAAATAGGAGACAGAGGAGGAAGGGGAAAACAAACAGACGGTATGGAACCAAGTCTACAGATTTTTTTTTTTAATTTTGACTAAAAATTGTGATAACAGGGGCACCTGGGAGGCTCAGTCGGTTGAGCGTCCGACTTCGGCTCAGGTCATGATCTTGTGGTTCACGAGTTCGAGCCCCACAGCAGGCTTTCCGTTGTCGGCTCAGAGCCTGGAGCCTGCTTCAGATCCTCTGCCCGCCTCTCTGCCCCTTCCCGGCTTGCACTCTCTCAAATATAAATAAACACTATTTTAAATTTTAAATAAATAAATAAATACAAATTTTGATGACATGTAAAATAGTTTCAGGAAAATTCTTCTTTATCGACTCTTTTATTTTTTTAATTTAATTTTATTTTCATCTTTTATTTTATCTTTGAGAGAGGGAGACACAGAGCATGAGCAGAGGAGGGGCAGAGAGAGAGGGAGACACAGAATCCGAAGCAGGCTCCAGGCTCCGAGCTGTCAACACAGAGCCGGACACGGGGCTCAAACTCATGAACGACCAGATCATGACCTGAGCTGAAGTCGAACGCTTAACCGACTGAGCCACCCAGGCGCCCCTCAACTCTTTTACATTTATCAGATGACATGTTTCTTAAACGTGCTTAGTCATGCTTAGATCCTAAGGGATATGTGGAAACCCCCCAAGCCCCAAATACCTTCCTTTCCAGGCTTTGTAGGTATCCCTGTTCAGAATTCACTTTCTGGGCTAAGCATATCCTCACCCCACGGTACAAGTTAGTTTTTCCCATCCCTTTCCTTTAGGACAGGAGGGACCTAGGGCACCAAGCAAGGAAGAAAGGGAGATTCTAAAAAGGGTCCCAATGGGTACCAAAGACAGACTTTAACCTACCTCACTATGGCCCTCTCTCCTTAGGCTAAAAGAAACTCAGGTCCTATGTTAGGGCTCTGTATTGGTCGGAATTAACTCCTGCTTAACAAGAATTAACTCCTGTGGCTTAAACAAGAGAGTTTGTCTCTCTCCTCATACAAAATAAGTCTATAGAAGACCGCCCGGGAGTAAGGACAGTCTAGTCAGGAGTCACCACCATCATAAGAAACTCCAGTTCCTTCTATCTTGCTCTTCCTCTTGGCCAAATCCAGCCATCACGTCCCCAGTCTGCCAGCAGAAAGGAAAGAAGGTACATTCCCTTCATTGATGGGCATTTTTGGAAGCACCATACAGTATAATTACTTGTCTTTCATTGGCCAGAATGTAATCACATGACCACAGTTCTCAACAAGGGAGGTTGGGAAATCCTGTCTTCCTTCCTGTGTTTATGGGCTCAACAAAAAAAATCAGAGGTCCAAATATTAAGGAAGATGGCGCAGAATTAATGTCGAGGGCAACTCGAAGACTACCACAGGATCGTCTATCAGGTCTTGCTTAAATATCTTACTCATCTGGAACCTGAGTTCTTTCCAGCATTCTGGATTTCTTTCCAGGCCCAGACATGAGACTGACAAACGAATAAATGTGATCCAGTTCAGAGACCATTTCCAAAGAAAAGCCCCAAAAACCTCAGACCCCATTCTGTAGATTGCCTATTAACTCCCTCTTGTGATTTCAGCGGAAATTCTAGAATTGGCTGGGAATGCCGCAAGGGACAACAAGAAGGCCCGGATAGCCCCAAGACACATCCTGCTAGCAGTTGCCAACGATGAGGAACTCAATCAGGTAGGTCTGTCTGAAGCACGGACACAAGCCGCAGAATGGGTTTGCCAAACACACTGTTGCATGCGGACCCCATTGGTTATAAGTCATTCCTGCTACAGTTCCCAATCACATTAATACAACAAATTTTCCAGATCATGTAAGAGATGAAGAAATCCCGCTAGCTATATCACTCAGATAGAAAATAAAATTGCCTCTGGAAATGACCCATTATATATTTGGGTCTTTCCAGACCTTCCTGTCCTCTCTAAAAGCAAGCTCTCCATGTAGCTGGGGAAGGTGCCTTGCATATATGTTGTTCATGATTTCTTCGCGCAAACGTTGACAACTCATTCTGATGAGGGCAGGAGAATCTTCTCTATATTACGGAACTAACTCCAAAGTTGCCGTGAATGCCTCTCCCAGGAAGTGCTAGATAGTCCGTAGATAGTCCAAGAATTTGTATTCTAATGTTGTTCTTTTCAAATTGTGTGTGATGTGAAGAATCAGTTCTTATCTCCAATCCATCGTGGACTGATAATTTCCAAAAATACAATAAAAAATAATTGCTAGAAAAGTTTTTAAAAAACAACATACCAACCACAAGCCACAATCTTTTGGTATTAGATCCAATAGATCTACGATACCTCTGTCAGGTTGCTGTAAAAGTTTCTGGACTCTTCCTTGCAATTCCTGTATCTCTTTTGACCCTGACAGTAACTCTAACTGTCCATGGACCCGCCCTGGTTGCAGACCTTGTAGACAGGCACTACTTGGGGATGTGCAGACTATATTAATGCAGTAGTACATGTCAATTGTTTAGAAAGTAAACGTATTAATTGAGAGGTGCATGGTCAAACACATTTTACTGATGGAATGCGTGATCAGGAGTGTGGAGGTCTGTTGTTAACTGGGTCTAGCCCTAACATCGACCTTTGAACCCAGTTTTGTCAAGCTGTGCTCCCTCCCTGAGCAACAGCCCTGGTTTCAGCCTCCTTACCCTTTCATCTTCCCTTGTTGGTTTTGCTTTCTGTATGAGACCATAGGATGCCATGATACCTACAGAGACTCGCTCTACCAGTGGAACAGGAAAGCTAGTTAAACCACCCATCATGCTTTGGGAAAGCAAAGACCAGATTTAACCCTTGTTTTGCCATTGGTTAGAACTGTATTAAATCCAGAACCAGCAAGCTCTTGGCTGCCCGAGCTCACGCGTTTCTCTCTTCAGCTGCTGAAAGGAGTGACCATCGCCAGTGGAGGTGTCCTACCCAGAATTCATCCCGAACTGCTGGCCAAAAAGCGAGGGACCAAAGGCAAGTCGGAAACTATCCTCTCCCCTCCCCCAGAGAAAAGAGGAAGGAAGGCGGCGTCAGGCAAGAAGGGAGGCAAGAAATCCAAGGCTGCCAAACCACGGACGTCCAAAAAGGTGAGCCTGGGTTGCCTGTGTGAGCCAGGGATGCTCAGAGAACAGGAGAAGGTTGAAGCACCCAGAGTCCCCATCATTGTTGACGGGCTGGGGGCTCCCCCCACTGGGAGAAAATGGCAAAGGGCCTCTGAGACTAGAGCTTAAATCACCAAGCAGGGACTACTAGAGGTTTCCAAACCCAAAGCGTGGGTGGCCTTCGTGTTTCCAGTTGCTTCCACTGCCCCCGACAAAATCGTAAGTGAGAGATGATAGCCTGGAACTCTGCTTTGTATTTCTCTTCAGAGCTCCAGTCTGTGTTTGTCACAGACTGTCTGTCTCCCCCAGATGGTCGGCTGGGTTCAGCCAGTGGGATTTCAGGCGTTCAGGACAGCCTCGTGTGCTAGGTAGCTATAGCTCGGAGATGCTTTCATCAGCTGGCCACCACGATAAACCACTAGCCACGTGCGGCTCTTTGCATTTGAATTCATTAAAACTAAATCAGAGGAAAAATTCAGTTCCTTGGGGGTGCCTGGGTGGCTCAGTCGGTTAGGCAGCAGCTCAGGTCATGAGCTTGCCGGTTGTGAGTTCAAGCCCCGCATTGGACTCTGCACTAACAGTGTAGAGCCCGTTTGGGGACATTTTAAAACAAAATTCAGTTCCTTGGTTGCGCCACCCACATTTCAAGTGCTCAGCAGGCAGAGGGCATTTCCGTGCTCACAGAAGGTTCTAGTAGACAGTGCTGCCACAAAGGTCGTCAAATTTCCATTCCGCAGACCTCCGCGATAACACAAAAGATGTGTAAGAGTTCACGCCACTGCCTCTGTGCCCCAAGGAAATCCTGGGGAGAAGGGAGGTTGAACAGGGGGATATGAATGACCCCACTTGGTTCCGACGCTTGCCATCTTAAGCTGCAGGCATTGCAAAGAACGACAGTGTACCTGTGTCCAGTCGGAGGAAGGACTACACATGCCTGTGGACCTCTTGAACACACTTTACTTTGGGCTATGCCCTTCTCTTTCCCTCCTATCGCTCCCTTGCGTCCCTCCATCGAGGATGGCGGAACATAACACCCGCCACCTCCTTTCATATCCAAGTGGTGATAGCCATAGGGAGGGCTTGATAAAGCCACTCTGGGCTTTTCCTGAATTATCTCCCACCTGTCCTTCTGATTTCTACCAACAGTCCAAACCAAAGGACAGCGATAAAGAAGGAACTTCAAATTCCACCTCCGAAGATGGGCCGGGGGACGGATTCACCATTCTGTCATCTAAAAGCCTCGTTCTAGGGCAGAAGGTAATAAAGAGAATTGTCATGTGCCGCAGTAAAACACTGTTGCATTTTTATAACCTACCGTTTGCAGGCAATGATGTTTCCTTCATCCCTCGTTCCCCTAACACGACTTTCACTCCGGTCTTGAATTATTCACGCTTACACTAAAGAGCTATGGCAGCGTCTACATTGTGAGAGTAAACAAACGCTTTAGTGCCGAGAATGATTCATGCCGGCACCGGTCAGCCAAAGGTAAGCATAGGCCATCTTCCTGGTCAGGCCATAGAATGGCATCGTGGCCGGGAACTCCCCAGCGCCCCACTGATTTCTGCGCCTGCCCCACACATCCTTAGCTAACCTTCTCAAACGACTCTGGGAGGCCAGCCTTGCGTGTTTCGATGTAATGTATCAGGGCAAGAGAATAGAGATCTACGTTTCCTGAATATCCCTGGTGTTAGAAATGAATCATTTGCCAATAATTCAGTCTGTTTGCCTTTCTGGAATGCAGAAAGAGGACAAGCGGGCTATACATCTGAACAGCCTTCAGCAGCATAGCAGCAGCCCAGACGGACATGCAAATAATTCATTCCCACTAGCACACAGTTTACGGAGCAGACAATTTATCTACCAAGTCAAATGGGGCTGAAATAAGATACACAAGGCAACAGTCAGTTAATCATACCTCTGGTGGCTGAGTGTTCACAGCCTGATAATAGGATGCACTTCTAGAGAAGCCATTGGGAAGAGCATGTTCCAAAAGAGTGTGTGTGTGGTGGGTTCCTAATTCTTCACTGGCGAAAGCCGGAAAGCAAAGGTGTGGAGCTGAAGTCCCCTCCGGGGGCTGGCCGCGGTCGCATGGTAACTGGCCTTCTCTGGCTTGTCTCAGGGGAACGGAACTGTCACGCTCGCACGGGGAGACGAGGGAGAATGTTCTGCATTCCACTCAGTTATGAGCGTGCAAGGCGGCCTGTCACAAGTGTAGCCCTAAGAGTGTGGTCCCCAAAAGGCAGGGTGGCCAGACATAGGCAGGTTGGAATCCTAGAGCCCGCCACTATTCTCAAACCAGGTCCCCGGCCACACGTTCCTGCCCCCTGCTCTGGGAAGAATGCAGGGGCCTGAGGGGAGCCAGGGAGAGCCATCCCGGGCTTCCCTGGCGGGAAGTGCTCAGACCACATGCCACCGGACGCCAAGGCCATCTGGGCTAGGAAACGGAGGCATAAGCTAGAGGGAAAGGAAGAAACAGGGAGGGCCCATTCCTGCTCCCGGAAGAGGAGACAGATTTGATGCTCAGTGTGGCAGTCAAATCCACTGGGCTCAGAAGAGCTTCCGGAAGACCAGACACCCTGAGACGGTCGCTCCCACCGCGGCCCTTTATGGTGACAATTCAGTGTAAATAACTGAGAGAATTAACAGATGGGAGGTAAAATACGAAGATTTTTAATAGGACTTGATCTCTCCCACACTCTCCGTCTTTCCTTCCTGACGCAGCTCTCCCTGACCCAGAGTGACATCAGCCATATTGGCTCCATGAGAGTGGAGGGCATTGTCCACCCAACCACAGCCGAAATTGACCTCAAGGAAGACATAGGTAAGGTCCTGAGAATTCGGTAGAGGTTCCAAAGGGGAGCCCACTGTTCGGGCAAGTTCTTGTGAAGTTGGCCGTGGTCGACCAGATCTCCTCGACTTGGGGGACCACATCACACTCCGTCCTTTGGGTGTAATTAGACGGCACTACCAGAAAGTAACTAATTTTGTCTTTTTTTTTTTTTTTCAACGTTTATTTATTTTTGGGACAGAGAGAGACAGAGCATGAACGGGGGAGGGGCAGAGAGAGAGGGAGACACAGAATCGGAAACAGGCTCCAGGCTCTGAGCCATCAGCCCAGAGCCTGACGCGGGGCTTGAACTCACGGACCGCGAGATCGTGACCTGGCTGAAGTCGGACGCCTAACCGACTGTGCCACCCAGGCGCCCCCTAATTTTGTCTTTAATCTGGGTATATTTTTGAAGTGTTCGCGGACGCATCATGTAAAAACAGATCGTTAGTGCACAGCTTGACGAATTTTCCTCCCAGTGAACGTGTCTGTGTAACCGGCACCTTGATCATGAAGCAGAACCCTATCGGCGCCCCAGAATCCCCCACCCTCCCCCATCCCTCGTACCATTCCCTCCACGGGTAACCGCTGTCCTGTCCCCTCCCAGCACAGATGGCTGCCGTCTGTTCTGGACTTCATATAAATGAAACCATGCGGTGCGTCTTTGTTCGTATCTTTTGCTCGACTTTGTATCTATGAAACACGCCCGTATTGTTGGGCATGGTTGCAGTGCGTTCATTTTCTTTGCCGTGCGGTATTCCACTGTAGGAATACACCAGAACGTGGTGACCTTCCACCATCGACAGCGTTTGCATAGTTTCTACTTTGGGCAAGGATGCGAAGTGCTGTAAACATTGTCGTACGTGTTTGGGGTAAACCTCCACATTTATTTTGAGCCTAAAAATTAAGAACACCTTTGGTAAAAAGGAAATGGACATCTGGAGAAAGTTGTCTGTGAGGCTGTGTGTTGAGTTACTTTACCGGTGGATCGCAGCCTGTCCCGCGGGTGGTGGAACGGAGCTGTTCCCCGGGCGAGCTGGAGGAACAGGGAGGGCTAAGCTCTCAAGGACACTAGAAGTAATGGCATTCTAAATGGTCACCACCTTATCCACTTTTACAAGACAGAAGTGCCTTAAACCCTCCATTGAAAAAAGTAAAGAAAGTGAGCAAAAAAGGTCTTTATCCCTAGGATTCAGGGCTTGGGTCTCAGCCTTGGGTTTGTAGGATTGGTGGTGGGGGGAGGGGGGTTGCCCAGCCCACTAGGCTCACTTAGGTGTCCCCAGGGGCATCAGAGGCCACTTGCTTTGCTGAGAAGGAGATAGGACAGCCTCGGGGCTGGGGGCAGGGTGAACCACTATGCAGAGAAACAGGACTTCTCTTGTATATAGAAACTGTAAAACTTCCTTCTTCATTGTTCAGACCCAGCCCAGGCCTTGTCAACTGCCCTGAACTCCCCCATTGTATGAAAAGACTCCCCCCAGTAGCCTTAGTCTTAATCTGCTTCAAGTGCTATTCTATCATTTCTAGAGTTTGCATTTCTATATCAGGAAAGCAATCACAATAGTTTTCTTTTTTTAAGTGGCAGGGTGGTAATAGGATACAGAGAACACTGATAATGGGGCAAAAACTCAGATCGCAGCAATGAGGCTTCTGGGGTCAGGATGGGTCTGTGTCCTAGATTTTACCCATTACCTCCGAGCTGTGTGACTTTAGGCAGATTCCTCAAGCTCTCTGAACCTCACTTGCCTCCCCCTATAAGTGAGGATAACCATAGCACCCATGTCATAGGGACAGCGTGAAGGTTAAATAAGGTACCACACGGATGAGGCTAGCACAGTGCCGGGCTCATAAACATTTGATAAGTGACGGTCTTTTTTTTTTATTGTTGCTGTGCTGTTTAGAAGGAGTCCCTCCTATCATGATTCCATTTTCCACGACCATCACCCAAACCAATCACCCCCTGCAGATAAGACCCTGATTTAGTCTTTTTAAAGCACGTGTGTGTCGTTCCAGAAAAACTCGAGCATACACAAAAATAACAGAAGAACATGACGAAAACCCCATACACCCAGTTGCCTGAGCCTGCTCTCATGCTACCCCACCCCCACCCCCCAGTCATCGTGTCTGTGGGCTCTTCGGAATGATCAGGGCTAGCATTTCGACAGCATAACTTTTCGACACGGTACCATCATCACAGCTAGAAATAGTAATATTGTCGCATCCCGGTCACTGTTCACATTTCAGTTGTGTCACAAATACCAATTTGTTTGTGTTTTTAATTTTTTTAATGTTTATTTATTTTTGAGAGAGACAGAGTGTGGGCGTGGGGGGGGGCGGGGGGCAGGGAGTGAGGGAGACACAGAATCCGAAGCAGGCTCCATCCAGGCTCTGAGCTGTCAGCACAGAGCCCGACGTGGGGCTCGAACTCACGGACCGAGAGATCATGACCTGAGGCGAAGCTGGACACTTAAACGATTGAGCCCATCCAGTGGCCCCCAGTTTGTTTTTTTTAATGTGTTTGATTCAGGATCCAAGTAAGCCCACACATCACAATTAGCTGATGAATCTCTTATAGCCCCTCAGTTCCCCTTTCATATCTTTTCCCTCTTTCTCTCTCTCTCTCTCTCTCTCTTTATTTCCAGTTTATTTTTTGAAGAAGCTGGGCCATTTGTCCTGTAGGGTTTCCCAAGTCTGGATTTTATGGATTACATGCTCCTGATGCCATTAAACATGTTTCTTCTCTGTTCTTCTTATAAACTGGTAGTTGGATCTAGAGTCCTAATGAGATTCAGGCTCAAAAATTGGGGGTAAGACTGTTTGGTCAGTGATGAGATATTCTGCGTCAGGAGGCGGGTGACTCCCACTGATGCTCCTTCTCCAGGTTTGTCCGTTCCTTAGGGGTTGTGTGGGTGGGAGCCATATCCTAATTCTAGCATTCCTTCCTTTCTTCACTGGAATGCTTCCATAGAGAGAAAGTCCCCCCATCGACATTTCAGGTTGCTTTGTGCTTGGGAGTCTTTGGGGAAGAGGGTGGGCTCGCCTTGCCTTTTACACGCTCCCATCTGGCCCTTGGCCCCAGTGCAGAGTGCAGGTGCAGAATGCACTGTTTCCGATGCTTCTCGGCATGTATGGGGTCGCGCTGGCTGCGGGTCCTGGCCTTCTCCAGGCTTCTGTGACCCAGCAGATCAGCACTGGCCGGGAGTCTGAGGGCCAGGAAGGAGACTCTGAAGGCCCGAGATTACCATTTCCAAATTGTATCACTGAAACCCAAGCACCTTCGTGAAGAAATCCCCGCCCCCTCCCAGCCCCAGTGGAAACTGACTGCTGGAACAGGCACCTTTCCTCCCTAACCCGCACAACGCCCTGCGGCTCTCCAAATACGCCTGAGGGTGCGGGTGGGGAGTAGGAAGCTCCCTCACCAGCTCCCACCATCGTAACTGTGAAGAGAGAGCTGAGACTTGCCCCAGACACCGCGATCACCAAGTTCATTAGAAGATGAAAACACGTGGGGGGAGAGGCCTCATCCCCCACCAAGGGCAGCAACCACCTAGCGTGGACAAGACGCCCTACGTCATCTCAGAGGCATGAGGAGCCCCAGCGCCCAGACGCGGGGTTCCTGCTGGCCGGAGGTGGAGTCCTGCCGTCCGTTGGGGGGTCCACTTGGCTTCCGCGGAAGCACAGTCCTGAAATACCGAGTAGAGAATTGTCCTAACATCAGAGACCCAAGGGCTCTCCCGTCAGAAAGGTCCTTAGAGGAGCGCCTCTCAGAGTTGCGTGTTTCCATTGAAAACCCAGGCCCAGGTTGGTGGAACACCACCGCAGGCTGCCCTGGCCTTGTCTGGCCTCTGCCCACCAGACTCACTACACGCAGGTGGTGGTGAAATGAGATTGGGACCCCTGGAGTCTGCACCCAGAGGTTCCTGCTGTCACCTCGGGCCCGGCGCCAGGCTTAGGACGCGATGCATGGTCTGTGAGATGCGCCCCCATGTGGGCCTTTGAATCACCAAGGCACTGAATTTAACCAACACAGCATGCGGTCCTGAACCCAGAGATCAGAACACCGGAGCCGCGATTTTTTTTAAAGTTCACCTTTAGGGGCACCTGCGTGGCTCAGTTGGTTAAGTGTAACTCTGGGTGTTGGCTCAGGTCACGATCTCACGGTTCCTGAGTTCAAGCCCCACATGGGGCTCTATGCTGGCAGCTCGGGGCCTGCTTGGGATTCTCTCTCTCTCCCTCTTTCTCTGCCTCTCCCCTGCTCACTCTAAATAGATAGATAGATAAATTCACCCTTAGTACAGCATAGGGTATATAGGCGATGGTATTGTGACCGTGCTGTATGGTGACAGATGGCAGCTAATGTGTAGAGTTGTCCAGTCATTATGTTGCACGCCTGAAACTCACGTAACATCGTGTGTCAACTGTACTTCAATTTCTAAAAATCACCTTCAGGATTCATGTCGTGAGACTGCTTATGGCCAAATCACCCCTTAAAAAGGCCCTTTGAAAGAGTTTGCTAGAATCTAAGCCCTGCTGGACAAAAGCGCAGAGACCCCTGCCAGCAGGGACCGCTGGCAACCCGACTGCAAAGTGGGATTCCTGCTTTGCAAGTGCGGTTGGTTATCTGTTTTCTGGCCTACTGAAACTATGCGAAACAGTGTGACCGGTGACTTTGAAAAGGACAACAGCCATGGCTTCCCTTGTTCTCCGCAGGTAAGGCCTTGGAAAAGGCTGGCGGGAAAGAGTTCTTGGAAACGGTAAAGGAGCTCCGCAAATCCCAAGGCCCTTTGGAAGTCGCCGAAGGTAAGCGCGGCGTGGCGCCCGTGTTCCCGGCACCGCCTCGCCACCCTCCCCGCCAGCGCCACGTGCTTCGCGCATGATCAGTTTGCCGAGCAAAATAGGCCTCAGCGAGTCAGAGAGTCGGCATCTCTCAGACAACTCGCGCAGGCCCGCGTACATCATTTCATGCACTCTGGGGACGACAATGGGTCTGGAGCGTTCAAGGCAATTAGCATCAGATCACCCCAGAATGAAGCTGTTGGGTAACTTACACTCATCATGCTGTCCTACCACCACCACTGTCCAACCCCACAATTCTTCTGTCACCCCCAGTGGTGACTCCCTTCCCCCTCCGCCAGCCCCTGGCAACCCCCAGTCCGCCTTCTGCCTCCATGGACGTGCCTGTTCTGGACATTTCACGTCAACAGAATCACAGGCCATGTGACCTTTGGTATCTAGCCTCCCTGACTTCATATAATCCTATCAAGGTTCATCCACGTTGTAGGATGCATCAGTGCTTTGTTCCCTTTTTAGGGCTGAATAATATTCCATTATGTGGACCCATTTCATCAGGTGGGTTGTTTCTACCTTTGGCTCTTGCAAAGAGAGCTGCTGTGCGTGAACACTGTTGCCCAAGTTTTTCAGGGATGTTGGGTAACTTTTTGACAGGTGGCTCCAACTTCAGATCCTTGTCCCCGCCACGTGCACACACATCACCTCCGGGGACCGCGTACTCAGTGCCAAGTGCTGTCCCGACGCCGGGGCTCCGAAGGCAATGAAACCCACTCCTGCCCTCAAGCACTGGACAGTCCAGGAGGAGAGACAGACAACATAAGAGGGGCACAGGGAGGGAGCCATGCCCTCTGGAGCTGGGGAGGCTCCAGCGAGGGTGTAAGAACCCCCGGGGGCAGGGACGCTGGGCGGTAAGGGCATCGCGTGTGACAAGACCCGGGTCCTGAGCCAGCATTTGAGAGTTTAAGCTGGGTCCTGTCGTGATCAGATCTGTGGCCAGAAAAGTAATGGGGCTATGTGGGATTTAAGAAACAAAACAGATGAGCTCATGGGAGGGGGAAAAAAGAGGGAAGCAAACCATAAGAGAGTTTTAATGATAGAGAACAAACTGAAGGTTGATGGAGGAGTGGGGGGCGGGGATGGGCTAAATGGGTGACGGGCACGGAGGAGGGCACTTTTTGGGATGAGCACTGGGTGTTGTATGTAGTTGATGAATTACCGAATTCCACTCCTGAAACCGATATCGCACTGTATGTTAACTAGCCAGAATTCAAATAAAAATTTGAAAAGAGAAAGGAAAAGAAAAGAAAAGAAAAGGGGCTTCCAGTCAAGAGAAAACGTGAGTCCTCCCTTTCAAATTGCACCTACCACGCCCCATACATAGAGCAATGATAGAATTTCACACTTAAAATTGTGAGACAGAGCCGCGTGGAGGTGTGAGACAACCATTCGGGCGGGCAGGGACAGAAGGGCGGGAGGCGGCAGCAGCAGGGAAGGTCGAGGCCACAGGCCGCCGGGCCCCAGGTCCAGTCACGAGTGGGGGAAGGCCTCCAACAAACTGCTGCCAGGGTGGGAAGGAGAGAAAACTAGCTGTTCTGCACAGGGTGGGAGGCTCCAATGCACTTAGAAACAGAGTTCCAGAGGCAGAAATAGAAGCTAGAGAAGCAGTCTTTAAAGAATCATGGCTGGGGCGCCTGGGTGGCTCAGTCAGTCGAGTGTCCGACTTCGGCTCAAGTCATGATCTCATGGTCCACGAGTTCAAGCCCCGTGTCGGGCTGGCTGCTGTCAGGACGGAGCCTGCTTTGGATCCTCTGTCCCCCTCTCTCTCTGCCCCCACTGCTCATGCGCGC